CAATTGAGCCCCGAAATTTCCACTGCTAAGCAAGACAGTTATTAAGTGACTTTTGTCCCATCTTACGACCTTCTTTGCCACCGTTGTTAACCGAATCGTTGCAGTTGTTAAGTAAATCTGCCTTCCCCATTGACTTTGCTTCTCAGAAGGTCGCAAAAGGGGATCACAGGACCCCCCAGGACATGGCAACCGTCATAAATATGAGTCAGTTGCCAAGCGTCTGAATTTTGATCCCATGACCACAGGGGCCGTTGCAACGGTCATAAGTCCGGAAAATGGTCATCACTCTTTTTTTTCCCGCTGCCTTGGTAAGTTCGAACAGTCACTAAATGAATGGGTGTAAGTTAAGGACTTTCTGTAATATAGATATAGAGGGATGGACTAGATAACCGAAAAGGTCCCTTCCTACTCTGTTAATCTGTAAAAAAAAACATTTCAAAAACTGGCATTTTTCTTGAAGAGGCACATCTGTAGAAAGGTGAAAACCTAATTTGATGCAGAATGTTGGGCTAATTTGTCCCTCCTCCTCTTCATCGTGAAGATGTCTAGAAGTGGCCTTCTACATCCCAACACACAGGTAGTCCTCGATTTGCAACAATCCATTTAGTGACTGTTCGAAGTTATAATGGCCCTGAAAAACATGACTTACGACCCTTAACTACCATCGCAGTTTCCCCGTGGTCACTTAACAACCGTGTGGCTAACTTAACAACGGCAGCGATTCACTCAACCACGGTGGAAAGAAACGCCGTAAGATGGGGCAAAATTCACTTCACGGCTGTGTCTCGCTTAGCAAAAACAGAAAATTTTGGGGGGGCTCCTTTGTGGTCTTAAGTCAAGAAACAACTATTTTCGATGTCTTCCTTATTTTCCTGGCTCTTGATTTTCCAGAATCTGTTTTCAAAGGAGGGATGAGGGAAGCGTTGAGGTTGCTCGACAGGTAAAGGTGAGCTGTTTGGGGTTCCCGCAGTGCCACTGTATTTTTTCTCCCTGCGTCTGCCGTATGATCCATCTTCCTGTCAAAAAAGAGGCAGAGGCAAGCCGAGAATACCCCCTAAAGGTTGTGTGAACTTTTCCCTTCAATTCGGAGTTGAGGTAAAAAGAAGAAACAGGAGGCAGGATAAAAATAACTTTCCCGCGTTGAGGTACAAGACGGTATAACTCAGCTGGTGTCCGGCGTATCTTGGGAAAGGGAAGTTTCAGAGAGCAGATGTGGCAACGCATTTATTTTTTCCCGCGCCACAGAAATTAAAGTTTGCGTTCTGTAACCGACTGGATGCAATGATAGGTAGTCCTCGACTTACGGCCATTCGTTTAAGGACAGTTCAAAGTTACGACGGCACTGGAAAAAAAGGGAGTTATGACCATTTTTTTACACTGAATGACCGTTTCAGCATCCCCATGGCCATGTGATCAAAATTTGGGCACTTGACATGTATTTATGTATGGTTGCGGTCTCTCTCTCTATCTCTTTCTCGCTTTATTTTTCTTTCTCTTTCTCTTTTTCTCGCTTTCTGTTTCTTTCTTTTTCTTTCTATTTCTTTCTCTTTCTCTTTCTCTCTTTTTCTTCTATTTCTTCCTTTCTCTTTACTATTTCGCTCTCTTTCTCTTTTTCTTTCTATTTCTCTCATTCTTTCTCTTTCTTTTTCTTTCTCTTTCTCTCTCGCTTTCTGTTTCTTTCTCTCTTTCTCTCTCGCTTTCTTTTTCTTTCTTTTCCTTTCCCTTTTTCTTTTCTTTCTTTTTCTTTCCCTCTCTTTCTCTTTCTATTTCTCTCATTCTTTCTCTCTTTTTCTTTCTATTCCGCTCTCTCTTTCTTTCTTTCTCTCTTTCTGTTTCTTTCTCTCTCACTCTGTTTCTTTCTCTCTGTTTCTTTCTCTCTTTTTCTTTTTCTCTCTGTTTCTGTTTCTTTCTCTGTTTCTTTCTCTTTCTCTGTTTCTTTCTCTTTCTCTCATTCTTTCTCTCTCTTTTTCTTTCTATTCCGCTCTCTCTTTTTCTTTCTGTCTCTCATGTTTTTGGTTTCTTTCTTTCTCTCTCTCTCGCTCTTTCTTTCTCTCTCTCTCTCTTTCTCTCTTTTTCTTTTTCTTTCTCTCTTTCTGTTTCTTTCTCTTTTTCTCTTTCTCTTTTTCTTTCTATTTCTCGCTTTCTGTTTCTCTCTCTCTTTTTTCTTTCTCTCTCTCTTTCTCTTTTTCTGTCTTTCTCTCTCTTTCTCTCCCTCCCTCCCTCCTCCGCCCCCTCTCTCTGTCACAGACAATGACAAATAGACTTCTAAGGCCTCCATTCCCCATCTTTCTGGCTATGTTGTTTTTCCTTGAAACCCAACATCTGTTCCCTTGTTTATTCAGCATCTTTTGTTGACCTGCAAAATTATGGTTTCTTGCCTCCGGCCTTCAGCACCAGAAGCTTTATTTTCATATAGGAAATGTGTGTATTTTTCATACGTGGTATTGCTTGGGATGGAATGATAAAGGAGACGTGTGCATATTTGTGTGAGCGTATGAGGGCAGGCAGCCAGGTGTGTAATAAGAGGTGCCAGCAGTTTGTCAACATGCAAAGGACTTAAGTAGGAACTTTTTTTTTTTTTTTTTTAAATTTGATTTATATGCCGCCCTTCTCCGAAGACTCAGGGCGGCTTACAATGTGCTCAGCAATAGCCTTCATCCTTTTGTATATTTTTATACAAAGTCAGCTTATTGCCCCCACAAACTGGGTCCTCATTTCACCTACCTTAGAAAGGATGGAAGGCTGAGTCAACCTTGAGCCTTGGCGAGATTCGAACCCTGCAGTAATTGCAGGCAGCTGGTCTTAATAAGCTTAATAACAGGGTGCCTTAAACCCCTGTACTACCAAGGCTCTTTCTCAACTTGCCTTGTGAGATACGAGAAGTCCTCAACCTAATGACCACAACGGGGAACAGAATTTCCATTGCTAAGCAAGGCTCTTAGTTGAGTAAGCTGCCCCTGATTTTGCAAACTTTTAATCATGGCTGTTAAGCGAATCGCTGCAGTTGTTAAGTGAATCATACGGCCGTTAAGCGAGTCCAGCTCCCACCATTGACGTTGCTTCTCAGAATCTGGCCGAGAAGGACACAAATGACAATTGCGTGTCCCAGCAATGCTGCAACTGTTTGTAAATACATGCCAGTTGCCAAGGGCCTGAATTTTGAACACGGGACCGCAAGGGTCTCGTGATTGTTGTAAATGCGAGGACTAGTCATAAGTAAAGGTAGGCCTCGACTTAACAACAGTTCATTTAGTGCCCAGTCCAATTTACAACGCCACCAAAAAAGGCACTTACGGCTGTTTTCCACACTTAACAACGGTTACAGCATCCTCCACAATCACATAATCAAAATACAGATGCTTGGCAATTGACTCGTATTTACCCTGTTTTCCCCAAAATAAGACCCAATCGGAAAATAAGGCCTAGCATGATTTTTCAGGATGCTTGTAATATAAGCCCTACCCCACAAATAAGCCCCAGTTAATATCGCCAGCCAGACAGAGGCGTTTAGTACTATATTTCCCCCCAGAATAAGACCTAACCAGAAAATAAGCCCTAATGCAACTTTTGGAGCAAAAATTAATATAAGACCCAGTCTTATTTTGGGGTAAACACGGTATGACGGACGCTGTGCCCTCCCCCAGGTCACCCAATCGCCCTTTGGCGACCTTCTAACCAGCAAAGTCAGTGGCGGAGCCAGATTCCCTTAACAACCACATTACTCACTTAAGAACAGCAGCGATTCACTTAACAACGTTGGAAGAAACGTTGATAAAATGGGGCAAAAAAATTCACTTAACAAAAGTTTCACCCTAGCAAGGGAAATTTTGGGTCCTCTTGTGATCATCATTCATGTACTTTTTTTTTTTGGCGCTGTTGCAAGCTTGAACGGTCGCTAAATGAATGGTCATAAGTTGAGGACTGCCTCTGATTGCTGTTTAGCTTGTTTAGAGAGCCGAGGTGGCGCAGTGGTTAGAGTGCAGTACTGCCGGCTACTTCAGCTGACTGATAGCTGCAGTTCGGCAGTTCAAATCTCACCAGGCTCAAGGTTGACTCAGCCTTCCGTCCTTCTGAGGTGGGTAAAACGAGGACCCAGATTGTTGGGGGAAATATGCTGACATTGTAAACCACTCAGAAGCGGTATATAAATCTTAAGGGCTTTTGCAATGGATGGATGGATGGATGGATGGTTGCATGGGAGGGAGGGAGGGAGGGAGGGAGGGAAGGAAGGAAGGAAGGAAGGAAGGAAGGAAGGAAGGAAGGAAGGAAGGAAGGACCAGGGTGGCGTAGTGGTCAGAATGCAGTACTGCAGGCTAACTCACTGCTCACTGCCAGGAGTTCGATCCCGACCGGCTCAAGGTTGACTCAATCTTCCATTCTTCAGAGGTCGGTAAAATGAGGACTGAGATTATTGGGAGCAATAGATTCCCAGTAATAGGGACATTGTAAACCACTCAGAGAGGGCTGCGGTATATGAAGCGGTATATAAGTCTAAGTGCTACTTGCTTTTGGAATTTGGATGCCGTAGCTATGAATAATTGGAGCCACTTCAGATTACATAGCTCAGGAGAGCTCATGAATTTACTAGGAAACAGGAAGCTAAAACGCACCGAGTTAATTTTCAAAATTTTTAAAATAAGGGCTACTGAGAAGGAAGGAAAGGAGGGAGGGAGGGAGCCATGGTGTCACAGTGGTTAGAATGCAGAATTGCAGAAAAATTCTGCCCACCGCCAGGAGTTCGATCCTGACCAGTTCAAAGTTGACTCAGCCTTCCATCCTTCCGAAATGGGTAAAATGACGAGCCAGATTGTTGGGGGCAAAGATGCTGACTCTGTAAACCGCTTAGAGAGGGCGGTAAAAGCACCATGAAGCGGTACATAAGTCTAAGGGCTATCGCTAGCCGCCGATCCAGCCGTAACGAAGGGACACCGCCGATGACGCGCGTCAAAGGAGTTGCCATTTTGAAGCCCGCTCACGGTTTATTTTATTTCCTCCCGCAGATCATCCAAATCTTTCGAACCCCTCGAGACTACGGACCCCTCCGCCTCCTCTCTCTCACGCCCACACGCCAAACCAACACCACGCCGCGTCCATCAACTCTTTAAACCGAGGGAACTACACACCACGCAGTAATCCCAGCCCTGCCCCCACGGACCATTCGCTCTCCGGAGAACACCAGGCAGGGAACCAAGAACCTACGCACGCTCAGGACAACTGGTTACTAAACAGTAACATCCCCCTGGAGACCAGGTAAAACCCCTTTTTTGCTTTCCCTCCCGCCCCCCCTCCCTTGGTATAAGCTGTTATAGTTGTTATATCTTCAGGAATGTAATAAAAGTGCTTGAAAGGACAACTCCCATCGCTTGGGTTGCCCCAAAAGACAGAGGAGATAATGGATTGATTTTTATCAAGTTCAGTAATATCATATGCCTGTGATGGCGAACCTATAGCATGTGTGCCCAAAGTGGCAGGCGAAGCCATGTCACCTGGCACGCGCCTGTTTGTCTTCCGGGTTTCTGGTGCACATGCGCACATGACAATCAGCTGTCTTTTGCGCACGAGGCGGTGCTGAAAACCGGTGTGCGCATGCACGCCGGCCAGCTGATTGTCGGGGGCGCATGCGTGCCAAAACCCAGAATTTTGGCTTTTCCGGAGCACAATTCCTGCGCGCGCATAGCAGTGCCAAAAACCAGCCTGCAAATGTGCACCGGGCAGCTGATCGTTGGGGGCGCATGCGTGCCAGAATCCGGAATTTTGGCTTTTCCAGAGCGCAATTCCTGCGCGCGCATAGCAGTCCCAAAAACCAGGCTGCAAATGTGCACTGGGAAGCTGATTGTTGGGGGCGCAGGTGTGTCAGAACCCGGAATTTTGGCTTTTCCAGAGTGCAATTCCTGCGCACGCATAGCAGTGCCAAAAACCAGCCTACAAATGTGCACCGGGCAGCTGATTGTCGGGGGCCCATGTGCGCTAGAATCCGGAAGTTTGTCTTTTCCTGAGCGTGACCCCAACGAGCGCACACGCGATATTTCCACGCAACCTTTTCGGCACTCGGTGTTGTGACCCAGGCCCAAGTAGGTATTATCAGATGCAATCAGTTCGAAAACAGACTTTATTAAAACAGCTGAGAATTAACTCATTCTCAGCGTAGTCCAAACTAATTCAAAACAAATTCTTCATAGCACAATTCTTCAGCCTTTATCACCAACCTTGGTCTAATTAGGATAACCTGCCAAAGGCTTTTCTTGGCAAAAGTTCAGAAGCAGAAGACGCCGACAAGAAATAAATGCAGCAAGGCAAGAAACAAATCTATCCACGTTGTTTTCCGACAAAGAGCCCAAGAGCCGTTGCTGATCTTTTAAGCCTTATGGGAGGGGCCAATCATCTCTTGGCCTTACTCCCGAGTCGTCCCTTTTGCTTTAGCTGCTCTTGCCTTCTGGTAGCTCTTCTTATGCGTGCACTAGGAACAGGCTCCTCCTGTTCCTCTGCCTCTCTGCTGTCAGCCTCTGGAGGCTCCGGAGTCCGCACATCACTCCCCGATGGCCCTGGCCCCATCTCTGCCTCCGATGCAGAGCCCTCATCCGGGCCTTCCCCAGCCTCCAGGACTGGCCCACGTTCTTCCGCAGCCTCCTCACTGTCCGACTCCGCTGCCAGCTTCGCAGGCTGCTGGCGGACCACAACACTCGGTGCCGAAAAAGTTCGCCATCACTGTCATATGCTATGTACAACTACTCATCCGTAATCCATTTGGCACGGCCCGTTTTCACTCCTCTTGAGCTTCTGGGTGTCCCCTGGTTACATTTCTGAAATACAGGTAGTTCTCGCCTTGCAGCAGTTCATTTAGTGGCCCTTCAAAGTTACAACGGCACTGAAAACAGCGACTCGTGATTTTTTTTTTACACTTACAGACCATTGCAGCCATCCCCCCGTGGCCGCGTGATCAAAATTCAGATGCTTGGTTCGTATTTATGACGGTTGCGCATGTCCTGGGATCATGCAATCGATCCCCTTTTGCAATTTTCTCCCAAGCCAAGTCAACGGGGAAGCCAGATTCACTTAACAGCCATTGTATTCATTTAATAACTGCCGTGGTTCCCTTAGCAACTCCGGCAAAGAAAGGTCGTAAAATGGAACACCGAACAACTGGGTTGGCAACGAGAATTTTGGGCTCAACCACAGGCAACTGTCGAGAACTACCTGTAGGATCTAAATAACGCAAATAATAGGGTCAAAACTCCTTGCAGCTGCTCATAGCCGAGATTCTTAGAATCTTTATGAACCAGATTTATTGAAGGCAGAAAAGAGATTAGCTTAATAATTTTGAAAATTAACTCGATGCGTTTTAGCTTCCTGTTTCCTAATAAATTCATGAGCTCTCCTGAGCTATGTAATCTGAAGTGGCTCCAATTATTCATAGCTACGGCATCCAAATTCCAATAGCAAGTAGCACTTAGTCTTATATACCGCTTCATATACCGCAGCCTTCTCTGAGTGGTTTACAGTGTCCCTATTATTGGGAACCTATTGCTCCCAATAATCTCGATCCTCATTTTACCGACCTCTGAAGAATGGAAGATTGAGTCAACCTTGAGCTGGTCGGGATCGAACTCCTGGCAGTGAGCAGTGAGTTAGCCTGCAGTACTGCATTCTGACCACTACACCACCCTGGCTCCCTTCCTTCCTCCCTCCCTTCCTTCCCTCCCTCCCTCCCATCCATCCATCGCAGTAGCCCTTAGACTTATATACCGCTTCATGGTGTTTGATAGACCTCTCTGAGTGGTTTACAATGTCAGCATATTTCCCCCAACAATCTGGGTCCTCGTTTTACCGACCTCGGAAGGACGGAAGGCTGAGTCAACCTTGAGCCGGTCAGGATCCATCCCAAGCCATCTCACTCGTTCATTGTTCTCAACCAATTCATCAGAATAGAGCTGGAAGGGACTGCCGTAAGAAAAGTCCAATAGGAAACAAAGACAACAACACAGGCAATAATTCTTACTTTAAGATCAGAGGTTTATTGTTTCTAATAATTTGGAACATAAGAAATGAATAGATATAAAAGATATAATAGCATTAATACGCTTGTATTAACAAGCCATTGCAATGGGGTCCAGTGATATACGGCAGATCCTACATGGACTGCTATAAATCAAAGGGCTCCGAGTTGATCTCTAACCCCACCCTTTATACTCTTCTTCTAACCACATACACGCTTCACAAATTCGCTGTCACTTTCCTTAAACACCTGGGTACATTGCTTTCAGATCCTCATTTCCAACGGTTTCATTCTTCCTGTTTTAAATGTATCCATACAAGGGCATACTTTGCAAAAACATGTTTCACAGTTAGCAACGGCTCAGCAGGATTACAAATAGTTCTGGTACATTTTGAAACCATCCTAGGTGAAAACTTTAGAATGGAATGGAATGGAATGGAATAGAATAGAATAGAATAGAATAGAATAGAATAAATAGAATAGAATAGAATAGAATAGAATAGAATAGAATTAATGGAATGGAAAAAAAATTGAATTGAATTGAATTGATGGAATGGAATTAGAATTAGAATTGAATTGAATTGAATTAATGGAATTAGAATTGAATTGAATTGAATTAATGGAATGGAATTTAGAATAGAATGGAATGGAATGGAATGGAATGGAATAAAAATAGAATAGAATGGAATGGAATGGAATAGGAATGGAATGGAATGGAATGGAATAAAAATAGAATAGAATGGAATGGAATGGAATGGAATAGGAATGGAATAGAATTGGAATTGAAATTGGAATGGAATGGAATAGAATAGAATTAGAATAGAATAGAATAGAATAGAATAGAATAGAATAGAATAGAATATGGGGATAGGATAGAATAGGATAAGAATGGAATGGAATAGAGTAGAATAGAATAGAATAGAATATAGGAATAGAATAGAATAGAATAGAATAGGAATAGAATAAGAATAGAATAGAATAGAATTTAGAAATAGAAATGAAAGGAATAGAATAGAATAGAATAGAATAGAATAGAATAGAATAGAATAGAATAGAATAGAATAGAATAGAATAGGAGTAGAGTAGGAGTAGATATAGAATAGAGTAGAGTAGGATATAGAATAGAGTAGAATAGAGTAGAGTAGGATATCGAATATAGAATATAGAGAATAGAATTATTGGCCAAGTGTGATTGGACACAGAAGGAATTTGTCTATGGTGCATACGCTCTCAGTGTACATAAAAGACAAGATACATTCGTCAAGAATCATAAGGTACAACACTTAATGATAGTCATAGGGAAGAAATAAGCAATCAAATCATATTAGGAAACAGTCAATATAAATTGTAAGGATACCAGTATCAAGGTTAATCTCTTAAAAAACTCTCTTCCAAGTCCAGCCCCAGGCAGGGCCATCATTGAGATATAATTACAGAATTGAGCCGTTAATTTGTAGGTAGCGTCATCCGATTGACCTTGCAGGACCTTGGACAGTTCCATCATTCAGCAGACTCCCAATAAGACATCCAAGAACGACACAATATGCACTGCTGCTTATTTCAGTATTATTTCGCTTTATACAAAAACCTTTTCATCCCTTGGATACTCCAGGAAGCTGACGGTCATGACGAAAGCAGTATGAGACAACTTGCCACGGCCAACTCACTCAGGGAACCATTCACCATGGCCAACTTGACATGGGCCAACTCATGCTGCAGGACAACTCAAGCATTCAATTTAAGGATTTAAAATCATCTTAAATATTATTTTAGTTTTTGTCATTCATTTTTGCCCCTCCTTGGGCATCCTTTCTTTCAAGTGATTCGATTCTACTATTTCTTCGATATTAGTGTAACTCTTAACTAGGGGGAGTTGTCCTGCGGCAAGTTAATTTGCAGTGAGTTGGGGAGTGTGGTGTGTTGTCGTCAACCCTGACCAAAGACCTTCTCATAATCAAAAAGTTGAAAACCCATTGAAAAGAAGAGCTGTAATTATGAATCCAGCTTTAAACACTCGACTATAGAAGAAGGTTTGATTCTTCTTTGTCCAGAGATGGATAAATCTAGTCTAATTTTCCATTCTATCCTGTTCCTTCCCTTTCTTCCTGTATACCTCCCCCCTCCCTTTTTGCTTTTCCTTCCTTCCTTTTACTCTCTTTTCTTCTCTCCTTCTTTTTCTTCTTTCCTTCCCTCCCTCCCTCTTATCTCTTTTCCTTCCTTCCTTCCTCCCTTCCTTTTCTCCTTTCCTTCCTTCCTT